AAAGTGTCAGGTGTATAAACTCCTAGGCAGATTATCAGAAGCCAGCTCAGTTGGTTACCTGCATGTGAGATTTAAAGTCTGGCCTGCTTGAATGACGTGCTGTGGGCCATTTATACTCAGCACAGGAACTTTTAATTTTGATCCTGAACTAGATCCTAGAAAAGCAAAGAAGAAAATTGTTAACAATTGTACATCAGTTCCCAGCATTTAATGCACTCACATTCATAATGTTACACTGGAAGGTGAAAGCAAAGAAAAGGAGCACCCTTCCCCTTATTATGCATATTCTTTCCGTGAGCAAAATCTGCCTGTTCTGACTCAGGACTCACATCCTCTTCCATAAGAATCACTGAGGAAGGAAAGGAGAAACGAAGGCTACGCAGGCTTTGATCTGTAGCTTTGCTCTCAATGGTCCATTGACAGCACCATGAAAGAATCTCTGGACTTCATGGCTATGCCTCCAGCCACATGAGTGCGGTTCTCCTGGCCCATCAGAGCCTCAGACACAGCTGGTGGTGTTTCCCAAGGAAACACCATCAGGACAACTCCTGGAAGAGGAAGAGCAGAAAGCTGCTCCTCCTGTGGCAAGGTCCATTTTTGACCTCTGAAACACTTAACTCAACCTTGAATAACGCACTGCAAAGCTGAGACTCCTCTGGAAAGGGTGAGCAAGGATTTGAAGTCTGCCTGTCTTGACCGAAGGTTGCAAAACTGCTACCTATAGTCCCCCTCTAGGTGAAAGTTCTCCCAGAGTAAAGTGGTGTCAAAAAGCTACTGGACAGCTCTAAGGTAAACTTTGAGAACAAGAACTCCCTAGCAAAATTGAGCAAACAAGCCTACAAAATGTCCCAAGCCACATACCATTCTGGTACAGTRGATGAAAGCCTGGTGCTCAGGGGTTTCATGTAACAAGAATTAGCAAAGGACACTTATAAACATCCAGACACACTTTTCAGAGGCTATGTAAAGGAGTTTCAGAACTCCATGAGACAACATTATGGTCAGAAAGCGAGAGTGTCAGAGGACATTCCCTTCCCTTGCATCAAGCCAGCAAGTGCTGGAAATGCATCACATTTTCCTCTGTCCAGTAATAGGCCACAGGCACAGAAGTTCTCATGTCAGGCAGACAGAAACTCATGACTTGCAGAAGAAACAATCTTTGATCCTATTGCCCTCATGCTGACAGCAAAGTGTTCCAGAAGCTAAGAACATAACAAGCAAATATTTTGAAATGGTTGAAGTCGAAAAACAGTTTAAGTCTAAATCTGGACATGAGTGSAATCTGTGACTGTCTCAGTGGTAGAAGAGAAGAACTGCAAGCACCCCAGACCATTTTACTTGAGGAGAAAGTATTTCATTGTCAACATATGAGGGAAATAACGTCACGTAAATAACCGTACTGTGTGTTTTCCACTCAAACAYGGTCAAGTACAATTTCTGTTGAGCTATTTTAGGCCATTCTAAGCACTCCCTACCACAGCTGAATACTAACATCTGTATGCATCAAACATAGTAGAAATAAGTGAGTCTTATTTGGATGCTGTGAATAACCCACTGGGAAGGCCTCCTTCACTGAGTATAGAAGGAACTTTTGGATACCAGCTCTGGCTAAGATAGGTAACTAGATTTTGACAATCTAAACTCTCATTAGCCCACTGGCTGCTCTAAATTCAGCAGCTTTCCCTCAGCAGTGCATATAGCTTTGGATTAGAGATTGTGTGTGAAAAGTTTCTTCTGAGCAGTGGATCTGACCTCCTTCAGTCTGAGAAAGACCTAGAAGTCTCAAAAGTGGAAGYCTCCACTTTTGAAGAAACACATGGAAGTACAAAATTTTTATGCAAAATGTTAAGATGTAAGGAGGCACTGCCTTCAGCTCTTTTTTGGTTTATTTTTGGCGTTGTTTTGTTCTAAGAGTCAGTGGTCTACCCATTTGCTATTGAGTATTTCCCACCAATTCCCTACAAAATAATATTATCAGCCTCTGTGAGTATTCAGAAAAGTAAATGGGGAGAAATAAATACCTAATGAGTCTCCTAAACTGCTCATTCATGTTTTTTGGCACACGTTTCTTTCCCTTAACACTCTAGGGAGATAAAGTGTAGTGGTTAATTTTAAGTAATTAAATTTCAATATCTAAATTAGTTCCATTTTTCCACTTATCTCTGTATATTTTTCATTAAAGCCATGGATCCAGAAGCATTCCTGTATTTACAACTATTCACCTCTATTTAAAAGATTTAAAGGATATACTTAAACACATAAATATACTAAAAATATAACTCGAATAGGTGAGTTTAAAGCAAGATAATTTTAAACATGTTTTTTAAATAGGGAGGTTCTCTAAACTGAACTGTGCCACAAACGTTATCATGAATTTGAATGGTAATACTATACAAATACACAAACTTCACCCATGATTTGTCTAGACAATCACACTCCTAACTGGAAATGAACATTCATTCAGGCCAGCTGCTAAGATGGGGGAAGAAAAGCAGCAAATCTTTGAAGAAATAATTTACATGGAATCTTGCAATTACACATTTTGCATCTACCAACTAAGCATCTAAACCCTGAGATGCTGGGGCTGCCAAACGATGCACTGTGCTGTTATGGGTGAGCCTGCAATAGATACTTAAAGACTATGAGTCTATTGCTTTTCAACTGAGAAATAATATTTCTAAAACTAAATATTGAGGATTTGAAATAGGCTGRTATAAAAGCTTAGCTCTGCTTGTGTTATGAGGAATCTGGGCACATTGGCTGAGAGGACTTGAGAGCATCCTCACACTGAGCAATCTGACACTTTCATGAAAGCAACATATTCCTGCATTCCGATCACATCTCTTACCATCCTAGAATGGGAGGTTCAGATGTTCTCCCAAGAAAGCGTTTCCACCCAGAAACTATGTAGAAAAGCTAGGAAAGCTAAAAGGACCCMGCAATGTTTCTTGACTATTCCGTGCATAGGAAAAACTTTCTGTAGGATCTGCCAAAGGAGGAGCCAAAATGAGCAGCTGCTACAAGAGGCAGGTTTCTCAGGGCGTGAATTTGGTGGAGGTGGTGCAATCAYGGACAAGTGCCCGGGGAGAGCAGCAGAGCAGCTCCCCACCGTGGACAACAGCCCGGGGCAGCCGCTCTGCAGTGACGTGTCCGGACACTGTCCCCAAATGTCACTGCATGCTCTCCCAGGCAGCGGTCATGAGCTCGTGACTGAGCTCATGGGGAGGCAGAGGGCGACTCCAGCAGTGCAGCGAGCGCTCGAGCCTGATCCGGGCCGGGAACGGGAGACCACCCCGGGAACACGGGCTTCATGCTGTCTTTAAAAGTCTGACAAATGTTAAAGGCAAGAGAGCAGTATAAAAGCGGTCAGTTTTTCTCTTGCAAATTCTAAGCTCATGTAATCAAAAATGTCCTTGTGAAAGTCTCGAGGAAAATAAGATAGCCCAGAAATGTGCTCGTCGGAACAGCCTTAGTGCTGTTAAAAATCAAATGAAAATGGGAAAAAAAACCCTACAATTGTGCTCCACCTTCTAGACAAAAAAGAAGCTCAGATATCTGCATACATTTGCAGACTTTGCCATTTTGCACATATTACATATATCTGAAATATATAGCTGTATTTGTATATATTGCAGATGGGATCTTAGGTAGTGCTCAGTGTTAATCCAACTTTGTTCCCATGGACATAAGCCAGAGTTTCACCACTGGTTTCAAGTCTGTTTAAGACATTTAACTCCAAACAGTTAATCACATCCACTAACATCAGTGCAGTTGGCAGGACATAGCAGATTTGTTGTATGTCATTATATATATGTTATTATACATACGTCATGAAGATAGTTTTCCCCTTACAAAAAAATGAAACAAAAAAATGTCTTTCTGGACTATGCTGCTGYTTTTGTGAGGATGTAAGGCAATGCTCTTACTGGCAAGACACTGGGTCTGAGGAAAAATAGCTTTATTTGACATTCTATCTGTTCCTGGGTCATTAGCTTTCTTACRTTCCTAAATGCTAGAAAACTGACACATTGCACAAATGCAATAGAGTTTGACATGTTTACCAGAGAAGAAAAAGAAGGAGAATAGCAGTGAAATTCCTACTGTCAATATTTAGAAGTGGATTATGTCTTCTGTGTATCTTCTGTGGGCATTTTACTTGACACTGCCTTTTCTGCAGGGTCATGGCTCATCAGGACATGTTCACTTATCATTATGCCTGTCACTGAGCGACCATCAGCAGCCTACCCTCACACTGACCTATATTGGGGGGTACAAACTGCTTTTCATGTTAATTAATCCTGATAACTGAGGAATCCTCCCATAGAGAAAGGAGTGAGCTTTTTTTTGGCATATTCTATTTGTTTTGGAAGGCTTATTAGATACGTCTAAAAGTCAGTCAATGGGGTTTCTTAATTAATGAGCAAACATCAATTTAGCCTGCAAACGCTAGCCAGTCTGCCCAAAATGAGAGACAAATCCATTTTTAATGAAGCAGAGGATAGAATCTGTGAAGTATTTAATGTAGCAGATACTGCTGTCATTCGCAAAGGAATAAAARAATAAAATTTCTTCAATTATTTTCTACCTTTACAAACTGGCAGTGATCTCTCTGAGTGAAGTAAATACAATTTTGAGCAACCTGTTAAGCTAAAGACTGATCACAGGTAATTAAAATAATAAATATATATAATCAATTAACATGAATCATTTTTCCAATATGATACAAGATTTAAAGGGCATATTTGCACTCCTAGTTCTGCAGCCATCTGAGGAACCATTTACAAGTGATCAACTTTCCACCAGCTTTATCAAAACCCAGACCTCATCAAAAACAATTATCTGTTGAACTAACAACGAGGACTATATTCTGGATCACTATATCCATTCCGTCCTTTATCGTTTCTATTTCTTTACATTTCCTTATATCCACTTCACATCTCTGTTACCTTCAATTAAAGAAAATCAATCCACAGGCTAGCTCAATATCTTACTAATAAAAAAAAAAAGAGAGAGATTCACAAACTTCTTTGAAATTAACAGGTTTAGCACACATTTTTTTTATTGCATCTTTTCTTTTGTCATAGTTTAAGGGTGAGGGATTATCTACAGACCACTCCAGTTATCCTGAACATGTTAACTAATCTTTTTCACTGGC